TGACCCCCGGCCCTGGCTGCATTCTGCCGGGGTCTATTCCAACTGTGTTGCCCCCAGAGGCTCTGGCAGCCTCTGCCAGTCCACAGGCCTGAGGCTTAGAGGAGAAAGCGCCAGCCCTGCACAGAGCTTCCTTCCAGAGGCAGCCAGCTGGGGCCTGGGCCTGGGAAGGGTCTAACCCCGAGGCCCAGGAACCAGCCTGCTCCCTGTGACTTTGTGGAGAGCTGTTGGGAGTCCTTGGACAAGCGTGGCCTGTCTCAGGTCTCTGGAAGGAGAGCCTGCTTCACACGAATCCCATCTCCTCCTTGGCTGTGAGGCCAGAGGCAGGCGGCCCATCGTCTCTGAGTTCAGATCCTCCTCTCAGGAATCGGGGTGGTAATACCGATCTTGCTGCGCTGCTTGGGAAACTAAATTGTCTAAAATCACATCTGAAGGCATTTTCCATGGTTGCTGTTAGGTGTCATGAAGCCGTTTCAACTCCTAGCCACCCAGGTGCCGTGCTTCAAGTGTCCCCCGTGGTATTCTGGGATACCATCTTTACAGGACTAGATTGCCAGTCTTTCTCCCTCAGAGCCACTGGGTGGGTTTGAACCACCAACCCTTGTGTTAGTAGGTGAGCGCTTCAATATCCTAAATTCAATCCTGATCCCTCCTTTCACTCCCTCTGCGCCTGTAGGCAGGTGGTGACCCCAGTTGGACCTCTTCTCAGGCTCCCATCCTAGCGCTTAGGCTTGGGAGTTTTGCAGTTCCAGGTTGTAAAGCCTCAGTCTGTTCCTGTTTCCCTCTGTCGGCATGACAGAACAGCTATCAAGAGCAAGGAGGAGTGGTCTATCATTTGAGCTTTCCCGTCTCGGGTACTGCGTTACCATAATTGCAGGAAGGGGGAGCCCTGTGGGAGCTAGCCGTCCTCTCATCCCCAGCTCCAGCCCAGAAGCACCCCCAATGTTTACATGTGGTTCTGTTTCAGTGGAGTTCAATCACGACATTGGCCTGAGTTGTTCTGCATGAAGCACACTTACACAACGTTTGGCACAGCCAGTGGTGTAGTACTTATGCACTGGGCTGCACTGGACAGCAAGGTCAGCGCTGTGAAACCATCAGCCGCTCCTTGGGAGAAATGTGGGGCTTTCT